GCTATTAAACAATGAATGAGTTAACCATGAGATCAAGGAAGAAATCAAAAGATACCTTGAGACAAATGAAAATGAAAACATAATAACCCCAAATCCATGGGACATAGCCAAAACAGTTCTAAGAGGGAAGTTTCATAGCAATAGAGGCATACCTCAAGAACGAGAAAAATAATAATCTAACTTTACACCTAAAGGAACTAGGAAAAGCAGAACAAACAAAGCCTGAAGTGAGTAAAAGAAAGGAAATAAAGATCAGAGTAGAAATAAGTAAAATAGGGTCTAAAAATACAATATAAAAGGTTAATGAAACCAAGAGCTGATTCTTTGAAAAAATAAAATTGATAAACCTTTAGTCAGACTCAGTAAGAAAAAAAAGAACACCCAAATATAAAATCAGAAATGAAAGAGAAGTGACAACCAATACCACAGAAATGCAAAGGATTATAAGAAAATTGTATGAACAATTATATGCCAACAAATTGGAAGAAATGGATAAATTTCTAGGAACATACAAGCTTCTAAGACTGAATCAGGAAGAATCAGAAAATATGAACAGCCTAGTAACTTCTAGTGAAATCGAATCAATAACAACAACAACAAAAAAACTCCTAACAAGTCTGGACCAGATTGCTTCACAGCTGAATTTTACCAAACATTCAAAACAGTTTACACCTGTCCTCAAACTGTTCCAAGAAAAACGGAGGAGGAGGGAAGACTCCCAAATTCATTTTATGAGGCCGGCATTACCCTGATACCAAAACCAGACAAAGACACTACAAAACAAGAGAATTATAGGCCAATATCCCTGATGAACATAAGTGCAAAATTCTCAATAAAATATTAACAAACCGAATTCTGCAATATATTAAAAAAGATCATATACCATAATCAAGTTGGATTTATTCCTGGAATGCAAAGTTGCTTCAATATCTGCAAATCAATTAGCATGATACACCATATAAACAAAATAAAGGTGTTAAAAATCATATGATTTTATTAATAGGTACGGAAAAGCATTTGACAAAATTCAACATCCATTTATGGTAAAAACTCTCAGCAAAGTGGGGATAGAAGGGATATACCTCAACATAATAAAGGCCGTATATGACAAACCCACAGCTTCCATCACACTCAGTGGTAAAAAGCTGAAAGCTTTTTATTTACGATCAGGAACAAGACAAGGATATTCACTTTCACCACTTTCATTCAGCATAGTATTGGAAGTCCTAGCCACATCAATCAGACAAGAAAAACAAATGAAAGGCATCCAGGTTGGAAAGGAAGAAGTAAAACTGTCATTATTTGCAAATGACATACTACTATATAGAGAGAACTACTGTGTATAGAGAACCATCAAAAAAATATTAGAACAAATATATGAATTCAGTAAAATAGCAGGATTCAAAATTAGTATTCAGAAGTTGTTTGCATTTCCATGCACTGATGAGCTGCTAGAAAGAAAAATTCAGAAAATAATCCCATTTACAATTGCATCAAAAAGAAAAAAATACCTAGGAATAAATTTAACTAAGGAAGTGAAAGGTCTATACTTGGAAAACTCTGAGACATTAAGGAAAGAAATTAAAGATTCAGATAAATGGAAGGCTATACTGTGCTCATGGATAGGAAGAATTAACATCATTAAAATGTCCATACTACCCAAGCGATCTCCAGGTTCACTGCAATCCATATCAAAATACCAACACAGATTTCATAGAACTAGAATAATCCAAAAATTTATATGAAACCACAGAAGACCCCGAATAGCCAAAGCAATCTTGAGAAAGAAGAACAAAGTTGGAGATATCAGGCTACTGATATCAAACTATACTGCAAGGCTATAGTAATCAAAACAGCATGGTGCTGGCATAAAAACAGACACATAGATCAATGGAACAGAATATAGTCCAAAAATAACCCTATGTAAATATGGTCAATCTATGACAAAGGAGGCAAGAATATACAATGGAGTAAAGACAGTTTCTTCATTAGTGGTGTTGGGAAGACTGGATAGAGACATGCAAAATATGAAACTAGACTATCTGAAAATATAAAATTCCTAGAAGAAAACATAGGCAGTAAACTCTGTGACATTGCTCTGAGCAATATTTTTTTTGGATATGTCTCTCCAGGCAAGGGAAATGAAAGAAAAAAACAAATGGGACTACATTAAACTAAAAAGTTTTTGTACAATGAAGGATCCATCAACAAAACAAAAAGATAACCTACTGAATGGGAGAAGATATTTGCCAATGATACATCCAATATGGGGCTAATATCCAATCCAAAGTATATAAGGAACTTATACAACTTAACAGTTCCCCCGCCCCCCAAAAAAATCTGATTGAAAAATGGGCAGAGGACCTGAACAGACATTTCTCCAAAGAGGAAAGATGACCAATATACAAATGAAAAGGTGCTCAACATAACTAATCATCAGAGAAATAGAAATCAAAACCACAATGAGATATCATTTCACACTTGTGAGAATGGCTATCATCAATAAATCAACAAACAACAAGTGTTGGTAGGATGTGGAGAAAAGGTAAGACGCATGCATTGTTGGTGGGATTGTAAATTTGTGCAGCCTTTATGGAAAAAAGCATGGAGCATCTTCAAAAAATTAAATGTAGAACTGCCATATGACCTGGCAATCCTATTTCTGGGTATTTATCAAAAGAAATCCAAAACACAAATTCTAAAAGATATATGCCTATGGCCTTTGCAGCATTATTTACAATAGCCAAGATATGGAAACAACTTATGTGTCCATTGATAGATGAATGGATAAAGTAGATGTGGTTCATATATTCAATGGAATATTACTCAGCCATAAAAAAGAATGAAATTTTGCCATTTGTAACAAGATGGATGGACCTAGAAGGTATTAATTAAGTGAAAGACAAATACCATACAATTTCACTTATATGTGGAATCTAAAAAACAAAATAATTAACAAAACAAAACAGAAACAAGCTCATAGATACAGAGAATTGGTGGTCCCCAAGTAGGTGTTGGCTTGGGGTATGGTTGAAAAAAGTGAAAGGGATTAAGAAGTGCAGATTGCCAATTATTAAAATAGTCACCGGGATGTAAAGTACAGCATAGGGAATATAATCAATAATATTGTAATAACTATGTATGGTGTTATATGGATACTAGACTTATTGGGGTGAGCACTTCATAAAGTGTATAAATGTCTAATCATTATATTGTGTACCTGAAACTAATATAATATTGTGTGTCAACTGTAATTGAAAACTACATTAAGGTGAATAAAATAATAAAAGCTTTGTTGAATGTGAAGTGCTGTCTAAATGTGAATTACAATTTTGATTTCATGCTCTTTGGAATAAATTTCATCTTTAAATTATAAACTATCATTCTGAAATACCAATAGCTTTGTTAAACACTCACCTTCACAATTTTCAACCAGTTTTCCAAGGTGGCATAATAAATAATGTGTTTTTGCCCATGACTGCAGTTTCATTTTCTGCATCTTGATATTACTATATTTAGAAAAAAATATTCTATTTCTGATTGACACACACACACAAAAGAATGAAAAGTTGTATAGAAAATACCCTCTATATAAGTAGAGGGTTAAAAGAATGCACTGATGCCAGTTAACACATGCGCGCACGTACGTACACGCACACACACACACACACCACTCTTACAAATGCTTGACCTTGTTTTTCAACAAAATCTGTAACTACAAAATACACTTTAAAATAATATCTGAAATAGTATGGCACAAAGCCATAATAATGTATCCCCAGTTACTTCTGGAAGTTTCTCAGAGTATTATGTGTACTGCAGAGCCCATTCCTCCCTCCTGCCTCAGCTCAGATCTTTCCAACTTGCCACCGTCCAGCTGCCAGTAACTCCAGTTAGGCAGCCTGCTAGGCACGCTTGTTCTACACTCAGGGAAGAATAGCACCCATTTCATATTTTCGCTCTTTGAGTATAAAAATGAGGATATTTCTAATATCTCCTTTGAATTTTTAGAATTAGATAGCATTATAAAATCAAATCTACCTCTTTGGGAGACATGTGTAATATGAATTTTCTCTAATTATAAGTAGTGCCAGCTTTAAATTTTGAAATCACAGTAATGTATCTTTTACACCAGTATTTTGAAGACTTTTTTTTTTAACACAACCCACATTAAGAAATACATTTTAAATCATGCTAAGCAAAATAAGCCAGACAGAAAAACTTGAAAATCAGACTATAGACTAGTGGTTACCAGAGGGTAGGGGTTGGTGGAGGAGTGGGGCAGGAGATGGGGTAAAGGGGGTCAAATTTAGGGGGTAGGGGGAGGGCGAAGTGAGTAAACGGGATCAAATATATGGTAGCAGAAGGAAACTGGACTTTGGGTAGTAAACACACAGTAGAATATACAGATGTCAAATTATAATGTACACCTGAAAATTATATAATTGTATTAACCAATGTTACCCCAATAAACTTAATAAAAAAAAGAAATGCATTTTATACTATGACCAAGTACACATATACACATGCACACATGTACAACATTTTATACATATATATTTATATAATTAAAAGTTTCACAGAACGTACCAAGGATCCATGCAAAATACCGATATTATCTATTCTATTTCATTTAAAAATTTGATATCAACCAACTAAATTGATTTCCTTAGACTATGCTTTTTAGCAGTTTCATAATTCTGAACATAGGATGATTCTTTTGATTGTTAAGTAAATAAAATTTCTGAAGTTCAAGAATTCAATTTTGAAAGATGAAAATCCAATGGCTTTTAGAAATATATCTAATTTTATTGTAAATATTAATTTTTTATGTGTGGGCAGGATGGTTTTGGTGCTAGTTGCTAGTTTTACTCTCATTTCTAGAAGGGTGATAGGATAAGAATTTTCTAAATGGTGATTTCTTTTCTTTCTGCAGCTCTCGCGTGAATGTAAGTCTAGTGCATCATTAACCTAAGGACCTCACCATTTGGAAGTTACAGATTTTGCCATCGGCTTACCTTATCCTTTTCGGTCTGCTCTTTTTCCTCAAACAGTGGAAATAGCTTTCTTTCAAGTTGCTTTTGTCACAGAGTTAAGCAAATGGCTGATAGTGGCTTTGGTAAAAAATCCCCCAAGTGCTCCAAATGTTCTCAGAAAGAAGTACTTTGTCTATGTTCCTGTAAATCAAGGCTTTCTCCAATGTCAGTGGTGGAAATGTCACAGACATCAAGCATTTCTAGTTCAGTCGTCTCCATTTCATCGGAGAGAAAAAAAGAACAAGCCAGTAAAGATAACGCCTCTGAAAAAGATTTGGTAAATATTAAAAAAAATTCTACTTTTCAACACAAGTTGAAATTCCATTCCCTAATCCCATCCCTGGATTTATGCATATATCCCATGGGCCCTTGTCAACTAATTCATTGCCTTCTTAACTATTAAAGGAACTGCTTTCTTAAATAAGAGATGAGCAAAGTTAGTAATATCTTTTACAACATTTCCAACACTCCCCAAATTAATTATTTCCCAGGATTATGAATAATTTGGAATGTTGTTCTAGCTTCTTTTTTGAAAATGGCTTATACAGAAATGAATTTGTTTTCAAGTTGAATTAAATATATGAATTTGGCGGCATTTTTTTTCATCTGATGCAGAATGAGATTTATGGTTGTGGTTAAATATAGGGTGATTATTATTTAAGACAATTTCTGGTTATGTAGATGGAATATCACATATACTCTGTAAATTCTGTTCGCATTAGTTACAAACAATCTATGACTACCTGGTTGGACTGGTGTGGGCATATTCCCCTTCATACAGAAGAGGCAGTGTGGAAGGTTGCACTCGATATAGCACAGCTTTGGAGACAGAGAGCAGTAAGTTTAAGAAAAATTAGGTTCTCAGCCCTCACAGTTGTATCTTTTTCAAATTTTCACCCTAAACTTTTTTTCTGATTTGTATTACAGTATAGTTATTGCCATATAGGTGTCTCTGAGTGCATCATTACTGAGTGAGTTGTTACTATACTATGTTATTTTCATTGGAAGCATATTTTGTGAATGTCTGGCCAATAATTTTTTATGTATAACCTATTTGAGGTGATATGTTTTGAAACAAGGATGATTGAGAAAGCTGTGAAGTTGCCCTCTCATGATTTTAAAGAATTACTGAGTAAGTTCTGATTTATCTTCTATGTAGGTTATCAGGTACACTTGCCTGAATTTAGGAAATTAGAATGAGTGACTTCTTCAGGTCTCTTTTAGCCTAATGAGTCAAATCAAATAGGGCTTAGAATTTGAAAAAGACAGTGAATTATCTTTTATGCAATATTTATCAGATTATCTAAATTAGGATTTTGCTTTGTTAACAAGTGTGTTATATCTTAACGTTACTTTTTGTTTTTTTAATTCCTTTTTGGTCTAAGCCCTCAAGAACCTCAAATGTAGAGAGAAAGGCATCTCAACAACAATGGGGTCGGAGCAACTTTACAGAAGGAAAAGTTCCGCATATACGGATGGACAATGGAGCTGCTATTCAGGTATATAGAAAGCAAAGTGAAGCTACTAGGAACATTCAGGTTTCTTCTAAGTCAATGGTGAATGGCAAAAATGATTTAAAAATAAGTCTCTAAGGAAAGGAAGGAAAGAAAAGAGGAAATTTATCATTTAAGGATGTCAAAGTCTTTACTACAGAAAATGCAGACTAATTGTTTTGTTTTGTTTTCTGTTTATAGAGGACCAAATAGACTTTAATTAAAATGGATAACATTTTTATTAGATAAAATGAGAATATTTTGGTCTTCGGGTCTTGCCTGATGCTGAGGGCAATCGTGGAGTCTTTGTGTGGACCTCCTGAAGATGCAGAGAGAGACCAGATGATTTGAGATGGTTTGGCTGTTCACTTCCTTGATGACTAGTAGAGAGGCCAGAATTTCCCTTTTGGACCCCTCTATTTTTTGCAGCCTCTGATTGGATGAATACCAATATTAGTCTTCTCAGGATTCTAATTATTACATACAAATATGAATTAAATATTAGTATCATTTTAGAAATAATGTGTTCTTTAAGATTAGTTTAAAGGAACTGCAACAGTAACAACTACAAGAAGAAAATAGTATTTTATTAACTTTAAAAAATTGTTTTAAGAGATATTTGGCAGTTTACTTGAAGTGATCAGAAAAATTTCCTGAGAAATCCTGACTTGAAAAGTTTAAATCTTCTCCCTTTAAATATAAGGCCTGTATTTTTAAAAATCTACAAATTTACTGAATTTTAAATTTACTCATAAGAGCTTTCATCGAAATGTGTTTGTTATGAAAAATTAGGAAAATATAGATAGAAAAGTGAAGAAAACAAAAATCATGAGCCAGATTTAACCAGTTTTAACATTAATTACCTTTACCTCATTTTAATGCATGTCTAAATCATCCTATTTTTTCAGTTTTTCCTGTTTTTAAATTACAAAATATTCTAAATACATGTATTTCAAGAAATAGCCTAACTGGTATAGTTGAAGTTTCTCTTCCTCCATTTAATGGACTTGCTCAATTTAAAGATTTTAAACATTTCAGAAAAGTATATAAAAAAAGGAAGTTACAGTCATCCAAAATTCTACTACCCAGTGATAACTACTCAATATTTAGATGAATGTCTTTCCAGACATCTATCTAAGCACCCCCACATACACATGTTTTTAACATTTTCATGATGGGATTGTATCATGCATGCTTTCACACTCTGCACTATATCGTGGACTTCTTTTATGTCCATGGAATGATCAGAAAAATAAAAATAGATCTATATTACTATTTTAATAGCATCCCCTTAATACAAACAAGAAGTCATTTTCTCATTTTCACCTCTATGTAATGATGTCAAAGCAGTTAGTTGAAGCAAAAAATTAGTTTGTAAAAAACTTGTTGAGCAATTACCCATTTCTCAATATTAAAATACTGTGTCCAACTTATGGTTCTCGAAGTTTAGTGAGAAAGTGAGAGTTTAGTTTTTAAAAGTAATGGAAAATTGGGGAATTGGTTATGGAGTTGATACTGTTGTGTTCTGTGGGAAAATGACATTTAAATTCAGATTTAATTTTACAAAGTAGAAATACTAGAAATTAACAATGTAGGTATTGAGATAACTGAACATAGCCTTATTTGTGTTTTATAGGCATGTGAATTTTTTTTTTTAATACACAAACATTGTACATACATAGAAGATTTGGAAGAATATAATTCAAGTTTTGAATAGTGGTTAACCATGAGATGAGACTGGGGTCTTTAATTTTAGTTTTTAATTTTCTTCCTTTTGCTTATCTGTATCTTCTAACTTTTTTAAAAGGTGAATATATAATGTTTTTATCAAAAGAAAATAAGAGACATATTTTAATTTTAGAAGGATGGGAAGTTGGTAGGTCTTCTGGCTTAGCCCATATTGCTACATGCAAAATAATCATGAATTAAACCGTGATAAATTAAAAAAATAAATTCCTATTTAACTCATTCTACATAATATGTAGTTCAGAGTTGCATATAAAGATAATAAAAATAAAATATTTTTTCTTATTTTAATTACCTTAGTTTTCTGACTTTAATCTCCCTATTAAGTGGTAGGGGGAAGAGGGAGGAGCCAAAATAATTATAAGTCATTTGAAAACAATCATCTGGGCAGGATGTGCCCTGTGTGGGTCTAGGAGTCTTCCTTTGCAATATTCAAGACCATAAATCTGGAGCTCCTCCTCCAGGGCCCAATTCCACATACTCAGTCTGTCATTTCTCTCAAATATGTGTATATATAGTAGGTTCCTGACTGGCTGGCTTGCTAACTGGATTTATTGACTGATTCATTCATTTATCAATTCACTCATTCATTCCACATTTGCACTGCTATCCCTCTGGAATACCTTTCTTGCCTTGCTTGGATTACAGAAAAAAAAAAATCTCTATTTTTTTGCCTTTGTTCCCCTACAAGCTAGTCTCAGAAACCACTTCTTTCATAATGTTTTCCCTTATTCTCCCAGTGTTTTGGTTCTGGTCTCTGGCTCCAATGTCATTTTGTACTTTATTTTTAACTTAAAATTTTATGACTTATGTAATAATCTTATCTCTTGAGTAGATTACAAATTCTGAGAAAACAGGAATTATGTTTTATTCATCTTTGTAGTCCCCAAAGTATACATCACAAGGAACTAAGGACAGTCTAACATGTGGAAGCCAAACACTTTTTTCTTCTCTTTTGTTCCCTTCCACTCCCCTCTCCTCTCTCTTCCTCTCTCCTTCCCTCCCTTCCCCTCTCTTTCTTTCTCTTTCCTTCTGTCTTTCCTTCTTCAGCTCATTTTCCTTCCTCCTTACCATCCTTCCTTTACTCTCGTCCGTCTCTCCTTTCTTCCTCCCCTCCCTTGCTATCTCCTTCCTTACCCTTTCTTTTATCCCTTCCCCAACATGCACTAAACATGAATATTTTGCCTGCAAGGTTTCAAGGTAAGCTTTTTAAAGGATACAAAAGAAACAGTTTTTAAAGGAGCTTCTAGACCATCTTGGGGAAAAAATGAGTGAAAACATTTATAAGCAAAAGAGTAGTTATAATGTTTGAGGATCTATGCATTCATGCTGAAGAAAGTCAAAATAAAGGAACAATGACCACAGTGCAGAGTGAGGCAAGAAAGCCCCTTGTGAAAGAGATTATTTGAGCATTGAATCTTCTTTTACAAAAGTGGGAAAGGAATGTAAGCAATAGAAAATATGAAAACTAGCAGCTAATTTACCTTTTGCATGGTGAAGATGAAGGTGGGTCACACAGAGAAATAGAGTAGCATCTCTATGGAATGTCTTGGCTGGCTGCCCCAACAGAGGTGTCACCTAGTAGCACAAATTCAGCTGTTCTCTCATGTCCAGAAACACTCTCAAGGTCCAGAAACTCTTGTTAATGCCTAGAGTTGGTTTGGATCAGGGAGACTGACTCTCCCTAACCAAATCTACAAGAAATGAAAGTGTATAGGAGTTACTTGTTCATTGTTTTACAGTATGAAGCAGAATGCTGGTGTTGGCAAGACCAGTGCATTCTGTCTGTGTGAGCAGACATTAAATGATAAGCAGAAGGATTCTTGGTCTGGTTGGTGTTACTGCAAATGGTTTTTATTTTCTTCTCTGTGCTGATTTATATTAAAATTTCTGTCCATATTGCTTTTTCTAAAACAAGAAGAATAAAACAATAAAAGTGATTTTTAATAGAAATAATGAAGATAAAGAAAAAGTATTACTTGGTAAACCAGAAAGTGGTTGTTCAATGGTTAATATGTGTTAATTTTGCAAAACTCTCAGCGTTTGGGATAATTTTGGGCATGAATGTGTTTTATACCCATATATATGTATATATATTCATACTCAATTTTTCCTTTTTCTTATGAAGATATTTCATTAATATTATAGTTTGTAAGAGATTCATTTTTATACTTTTGAGGTTTTCCACATTTCCCCATTAGGATTTTTATGGTTTTCCTCCAAAGGACATTTAATGAAATTCATCAAAATTTATTTTTGTTTAATTAAGATGTGTTTATTAATATTGAAGCAAATATGTGGTATCTTCTATTTGATTTTACCCTGGAGCAGAATCTCTCTTCCCTTGGGTAGATCTCTGTCAATATTATGTGCTCATATTTAATACCTAATAAATGGCAGAAAGAGACAAAGGTACTCCTATTTTTTATCCAGGGAATCTATACTTTTGGAAGAATATTGGGACAAGGGAGCTTTGGAATGGTGTTTGAAGCTACAGACAAGGAAACAGAAATTAAGTGGGCAATTAAAAAAGTGAACAAAGATAAGGTAAGGCGTATTAGCAGCATCATACTGGGGGCACAGCACCAGGACAGGATGGGGTAGTCAGTGCAGTTTTTCACATTAACATAACTGCCTCTGACCCTGTGGGCTGTTCCCCTAGAGAAGAGTGGGCATTTCTCTAGCTCTCTGGGAAGGGACCAGTTCTTGAACTCAGGTAGACAAGTTCCATCTGGAAAAAGCAAAGGAAAGGATAACGAACAGAACCAATATAACCAAATATAAGTAGAGTTTACCAGAGTGAGTTGAAGGGAAGTTCTGATTATCAGCATGTATAAATGTAGGGCTACTGGCAAGAGATGTCTTTAACCAGAAATGAGCCCTGGGACTCTCTCCTGACGTGGTTCTGCTATACTGTTCTCCTATTCTCTCCTTTCCTTGATTCTCTTTTCCTCATTGTTAGTTTATTCTCTTTTTATTAATTCTACCTGCTCTTTCAGTTCAAACCACTTTTTCCTCAACTATCTACAATTTACCTGTTGCCATTGAATTCCTCACTGGATTTCTTTTGACTGGGCAATGACTGAGCTTCTCTTTAAGGGAGAGTCTTAAGTCTTCAGGTCTTACCCCCGATCATTTCATCAACTTTTTAAAAGTTGCCGTGCTTGGGAAAAAACATTATGGTGTTTTTTCCTTAGCTTCTTAATGATAAATATTACATTTACAAAATGAAATAGTAGGTTTTATGTATTCTTTAAAACAAACTATAGCAAATTATGTACCATTTCTCCTTAAAGATTATTAAAGTGACATATAAATCTTAATAAAGAGAGATCTAGAGCTTTCCTAGAAATCTTAAGAATTTTAGAACCATGGTGCTATGTGGGATATTATTTCCATTGCCCCTTTGGCATCACGTAGGGTTAGGGGTTAGATTTTAGGGTTACATTGTTGGGATACCTACTTGCAACTTTAGGAATTCATAATCTTGTACACATATTTGATGCTGAGAGTATACTGGACACTAAGATAGTAAAATAAAATTATATAGTCAATATGAATTAGACAATATATTACTGTATTATATACTGGACAAGCCATTTGGGGAAGGAGATTGAAACAGAATTGAGGTGGATTTTAGGAGAAATTGTGGTAACTTCCATATCTAATCTGGACAGAAATTCATTCCTCACAGTAGTTATTTCTCTTAACCCTCTAGAATAACCTTAAAATGTGATTTTCATCTTATAGGATAGGACATAGTGGGTGAGCAGTTTCCTGCTCATTGCTGAGATGGTAAAGGTTAAGGGGTAAAGGTAATCGGAAGCAGAGATGACCCCGGGTGAAATTTTAACTGGATAAAGATTGCTTTATGATCAGTCCGTTTTCAGCCCTTTAAGATATTATCTGTGCTTTCCCAAACATGGAGTGGGGCGGTCTGGAAGACAAGGGAGGGATAAGACCTTTGTTATCCCTTTCAGGAATATCTTTATGTGGATGAGCACAATGCTTATCTGCAAATAATGATGGTAATTTAGATGTCAGTAGCGGTGGTGGATGATTAGGGTGGTGGTTGTGGTGGTGAGGGTGGAAAAGTCTTTCTAGAATTTCTTAGATGACATTGTAGAAAGTTAATTACTTACACCTTGATTGAAGGCCTGTGTTCCCTGGGGTGTTCTTGCCTTTACCTTTTGCTGTCAGGTATGGTTAACAGTTACATGTAAGGAGATGAAGTTGGAGTTAGGTTGGTTAGAAGGCGACATTTGCATTTCTCTTTCTCTCAGTTAATTTTGTGAGGCCTAGAAACCAGGAAGTGATATAATGCAGGGCTAAGTGTAGAATCTTACTGTATATTGTTTCTTTTGATACATATATACAAATAAAACAAAACAAAACAGATAAAACATTTTGTTTTTATCTTCTCCAATTGATGTCCTTGGGAAGTAGATTTTGTTTTTATTATGCTAACATCAAAGGATCAATATGATTTTGAAAGAAATACCAAAAAGCATATTAAAAATTAGAATAATTTTTTGAGGGGACAGAGACCACGTTGTAGTTAATTTATAGAAACAGTTCAATAAACAGAAGTAGTTTGAAACCAAATTACATGTAACATAAAATTGGACAAAGGAAAGAAGGAGTATAATTTAATTTTATCATGCTTCCTTTTCAAAAAGAAACTTCTCAAGAAACTATGGGGAAAAAAATAAGAATAACTGTAACTTTTATACTGAGGTATGTAGTAGTGACAATTATATGTGAAATCTATGTTTCTTCATTATTTAAGGCTGGAAGCTCTGCTATAAAGTTACTTGAACGGGAGGTGAGCATCCTAAAATGTGTGAAACACGAACACATCATACATCTGGAACAAGTGTTTGAGACGCCAAAGGTAAAGCTTTATCAGGCACTGCACTTTAAAAGTTGTTATTACAAAATGAACATCATTCCCTTCTGAAGTAATCCCTCTGGGCACAGTTGCTCATGTCCTTGGCATGAGTCTGTCACTGGAGATTGATGAGAGCATTCCACAGGACTTTTATTATTGATTGTATAATTAGGTGTCTGATGATTAGATTGATGGCTTTAGTGATATTTCTGGGTGGCATGTTGAAAACAAATGTTTAAAACTGAAACAACTTCATACACAACTGATTAGCGATTAAAACTTCCTTAGAGGTGGCTTTCCTTTTGCTTGGTCCTTGATTTCTCCATTAGAGTCTCTTGGAATATTGTCTTAATTTTGCAAGTTTAGCTTTATAATAAAGTGTTAGCATGGGTATATTTGTCACTATGTAGATGTTTTGTCATCTGTGTCTTACCAACGTGTTTAATCTTCCTTCTTCCCTAGAAGTTATTTTTCTCTTTGAATGCCTATAATTTTCATTTAGAGTTGTTCTGAAGCCTGGGGATTTGCCATTCTGCCTCCATATTGTTTAGCAGTGCCAGTGGGCTTGGGTGTTTCTCTGCGTGGAGGCAGTATGAAAACAATGGTTAGGCATGTAGACTCTGGAGTCAGATTGCCTGTGCGTTTGAATCCTGGCTCCACCACTTATTAGCTATGAGACTTATTAGCTATGACAAGTTACTCAACCTCTCTATCCCTCAGTTTCCTCGTTTGTAAAATGGGTTTAAAAATAGTATTGACCCCATTTGCTTGACAAATGATTAAATGGGAAAATGGCATCTGTCTCATTAAACGTAAACTATTGTCCTTTGTTTCCTTTGCCAATCTCTAAGGCAGTAATAGTCAATTTGTTTTATGTCTTACCTTGACTCTTTAGGAGTGCTTAATAACTATTAAAGACCATAGTTACCCTTTATGGAGCAGTACGTGGCAGTGATGCCAGAAGTCTTCTTGACTCTTAAGTCTTAGCGTGGTCATTTCTTTTATCCTTAAATCTTCTTAGAATAGTTTTGCTTCTAATCATCAGTTTTAAGGAATTTGATTATGTTGTGCTTTGGTTTAGTTTTCTTCATGTTTCTTTGTACTTGGATTTCATGGAGCTTCTTGGATCTGTGAGTTTACAGTGTTCACCACATTTAGGAAATTTCTAGCCGTTATTTTTTAAATTATTTTTTCTGCCTTTTCCCACTTTTGGGACTCCAAGTACACATGTTAGATTGCTTAATATTGTCCACAGCTTACTGATGCTCTGTTTATTTTTTCAATCTTTTTTTTTTCTGTCCTGTTTCATTTAGCACAGTTTTTATTGCAACGTTTTCAGATTCAGTGGTCTCTTTTTCTGTAGCATCATATTTTTTGTCTGTCTGTTCCAATGGAAATTTTACTTGGGTCAATATTTCCTCTTTTTAAAATACATTTATATTTTAAAATGTCTTTTTCTTCTAATTCTATCATGTGTGTCATTTCTAGGTCGGTTTCAATTGATTGATTTTTTTCCTTCATTACAGGTTATATATTCCTGCTTTATATACCTGTTAATATTTTATTGGATGTTGGATATTTTTATATTCTTATAACTATTCTTTATCTTTATTTTAGAATTTACTTAAGTTACTTGGAAACAGTTTGATGCTTTTGAAGCTTGCTTTAAGTTTTGTTAGGTGGTACCGGAGCACCTTTGGTCTAGGGCTAATTTTTTCCCACTAATGAAGTAAGACCCTTCTGAGTACTGTATCCAGTGCCCCATGAATTAGGAGATTTTCCACTCTGACTAATGAGATGCAAACTCTTCTGGCCATGCACAAGCTCCAGTGATTGTTCCCTCTGCTCCTTTTGCAGGGTTCTCTTCCTAGCTTCCTGTAGTTTCCTCATATACATGTGCTAATTAGTACTTGGCTGAAGACTTGAGGGTAGCCCTCTGCAAATATCTGGAGCTTTTGCTATGTGCAGCTTTCTCTTCTTTGATACTCTGCCCTGTGAACTTCAGTTGCCTTGGGCTTCTTGGATTCTCAGCTCCATCTTCTCAGTTCACAGAGACTGATGGACTCTGTTTGGATTCCCTCTCCCTGCTCTGTGGCCTGGAAACTCTTTCCAGACATAATCGTGGGGCTTGTCTCATGTGTTTCCTCTCTCTCAGGGATCACTTCCCTATCTTGTCTAATGTCTAATATCTGAAAATTGTTCTTTCATATATTTCGTCTATTTCTTAGTTGTTTCAGGAGGGAGGGTAAGTCTGTTCTCTGTTACTCTATCATGAGCACGAGTAAAGGTCCAAATCAAGAATAGTTTGAAGGCAAAGGAAACCATCCTCTGTGATTGTCTTTTCTGTGTGTTGCTTGCCCTTAACTCACATAGGTCAGATATGCTTTCCCCCGATCCTCAACTCACACAGATGCCTAGAGGTTCCACTGAAGCCATCTTAAGCATTACCGGAAGTTGCTACCTAATTGGTTAGGCTATGGTATGAGTACTGATCATCTAGTATGATTATGTTATGGTTTCTTGTGAGTCCAGATGTTATCCAGATTTGCACAATTATTTCTAATAATTAATTATAAAAGACTTTAAAAAAACTTTTGTCGATGTAATTTTTATCAACTTTCATATTTAAAATTGACATCAATTTATATTGTAAGCACTGCTAAAGTAATTTTCCTTCTAAATAGTTCACTTACCATTTCATGTACCAGTAATACCTACAGTGCTATCAGTCAAAAAAAAATATGGACTAGTTCAAAAGTTTATTTATGTGGTAGACTTTGCAGAATTCTTTAGGTGCTTTTGAAATTCTAAAGCATCCTGAGATTTAGCGAATCAGAATTTTGACTATAAAGAAACGGTGTTAACCTTCTCTCCCTGTTTTCATGCTTGCTGATTGAACACAGAAGTTGCATTTGTATGGGTTATAGCAGGGGTCCCCAATCCCTGAGCTGTGGACTGGTACTGGTCTGTGGCCTGTTAGGAACCAGGCCACACAGCAGGAAGTGAGCAGTGGGCAAGCAAGCAAAGCTTCATCTGTATGTGCAGCCACTCCCCAGAACTAGCATCACCACCTCAGCTCCACCTCAGATCACTGGGCATTAGATTCTCATAGGAGCACCGGTTCCTGGTGTCAAAAAGGTTGGGGACCTCTGGGTTATAGAATAGAATCAGAGCCCAAAATCCTGAAAACAACAAAAATCTAGCAGCACAGAGTAGAGTGGAGACAGGGAGGGTATTCTGTAACTGAATAGCAATAGGTATGAAAAAGACTTGTGTTTTAATTAACTGAATCTTTTTGACTCAATAGATGACTGTTGGAATATCTAAAGTGATTTTAATAGCATCAACAGAAACAGCAAATATTAAAGAGGCATTTATCAAATGGCTTTTACCACTCATACCCAGTTAGTCACTGAGTCCCACTATTTCTTTCTCCTAGATATCTTTCACATCTTTTTTTCTTCTTCCCCTTCCGTCCATTCTGTGCCTCACACCTACCCTCTATAAAACAGAGGTCAGCATACTACAGCATGCAAGCCAAATCTGCTGTGCTGCCTATTTTTTATGGCTCATAAGCTAAGATTTTTTACATTTTTAAATGGCCGAAAAAAATTTTAAAGTAGTATTTCATGACGTGTGAAAATTATATGGAACTAAAATTTCAAAGTTTATAAATAAAGTTTTGTCGTGTTGCTTATGGCTGCTTTTATGCTATAACAGCAGAGCTGAGCAGTTACAAAAGAGATTGCTTGTCCCACAAAGCTGAAAATATTTACTGTCTGAATCTAGCCTTTACAGAAAAAGTTTGCTGAGCCCTGCTCCATGTTACTGTTAGAATGTTCATTTAGAAATGCAAAATTGATAACAGCAAACACCTTTCCCCAAGCCAGGCACCAGCTTAAAAATCTTCTTAGTGCACGCAAGAAAAAAATTCCAAACTCCTTTGTGCGATATCCAAGACTCTTTACAACCTGGCATCAATCTGTTCCTTCTAGCCTCACCCCTCACCACTCCACTCTTCTTTGCCCTACCAAACTCCCAATGCTATTAACACTGAGGTATTTGTTATTCTTTTAACAGTTAGTGTTGTTTGAAGCCTTGGAGTCTTTGTAAATACCATGTGTTTTGCCCACATTCTCTACTCATCTCTTCCTATTCAGTCATTCAGACCTGCTTCTATTTTTGCTGCCTCAGTTATCATTCTTTAGGCAGAGGCTCCCCTCCTTTGTAATCTCATGGCATTTTGGGCATGCCTCGTCGATTAATATTTATCACATGATATTGTAATTATAAATATACTGTGAGCTCTTTGAGGGTAAAGACTATGTCTTATGCTTACTTGTTCTTCTACTGTCCTGCACAGTATCTTGTACATGATGGATAATAAGTATTTTTGAATGAATAGATTGAAAATTAAGATCGTAATCATATTTTTGCTATATATGTAATATATAACATTTTTGAGATCCCCAACTATATAATTTGCTCTTTTTCTCTTTTTAAATATATAATATCAGAAAATGTACCTGGTGATGGAGCTTTGTGAGGATGGAGCACTCAAGGAAATTCTGGATAGGAAAGGGCATTTCTCAGAGAATGAGACCAGGTGGATCATTCAAAGTCTCGCATCAGCTATTGCATATCTTCACAGTAATGGTAAGAAGAGGATCATCCAGGTCACGACTCCATGAATGCACATATCATTTTTGTTTATGGACAGTTGTATTCAAGATTCATAGTCACAGCAATAATAATAATCGTATGGAAGATTTTATTTAAAAATGAAAAATTTTTTTTTCCTTTTTATATTTATTTATAGATCCATTTTAATTAGAAACAAGGCAGGTATACAATTACATTGTATATGTACAAGGGACAAGGATGAAGTTACGAACATTTCTATTCAATAGTTTGAAAGGCAGCTCTTATTATCAAATCAAAACTAGACACATCAATAAGAAAAGTAAAATTTCTGAAACATATGCTAATAATAATGTTAAAAATCTGTAGTGTCTGGGCATTTTTTTCTTTTTCTTTCTTTCTTTTTTTTAGAGCAGTGTTAGGTTCACAGCAAAATTGAGCAGAAGTTACAGAGATTTCCCATAAATGTTTTCCCCACTATCTGAAAGCAGAGGGTTCTAATGAAAACGTTCATAAACTGATACGGCATAAAGCAAAGAATTACCATTAATTTATATGGAACATTTTTTGGGTATTCCCAGACTCAAAAAGTAACCTACCAAATTGTACCAAATAACACCTAAAATAATACTAACATATAGTAAAAGCAGGAATAATATGATAAATACACACCATGCTTTGTACAGCCACCAATCCACTCAAGCAAATGACTTTCCATTTTATCCGTTACTGAATACCAACTAAAAGACATCACTATGCTACTAGCATAACCAACAGTAACTTAGGCAGCTTTCTTTATCTCTGCATGTAAATGGTGTAAATAGTGGGTGCAGGCAAGTTTAGCGGAGGCACAATATCTTTATTTCATTTACCATGATTGAAATGCTTAATTACATCCAGTTTTATCCAAAATGTAATACCCTTATGAGCTCTCATAGGCTTTTCAGATACCTTCTTGCTAATGAATCCACGAAACAAATCGAGGTAAAGCACACATGCTCACAAACACAGTTCAAAGCTATGGTGGCCTGATGCTGAGATGCTGGGTGTAGTTCCCAAGAAAGGAGCTTGGCGGTGCCACTCTCCCTGATCAGAGTGTGAGCTGCTTTTATACAGGCTCACTCAAAACAAACACTGATTGCTATTTTCATTTTTTGCTTTTTTTTTTTTTTGTAAAAACAAAAATCCTCTTTGGATTTCTTTCAGTTAGTGAAAAGAGGTACTAATGTATGTCTTTTATAAAAGTAAGGGGCAGAACATGAACTTTTGAAAAGTGGGGAATACCTGCATACTCCCTGCCCACAGATGCACAGTCTCCCCCATTATCAGCACCTCCCACCCCCTACCAAAAGGGACATTTGTTACAAGTGGTGAACCCACACTGGCACATCATTATCACCCAAAGTCAATAGTTTACATTAGGATTCACTCTTGCTGTTGTACATTCTATGGGTTTTGACCAGTGTATAATGAATGACATGTATCTATCATTGTATCATACAGAATAGTTTCACTACTTTAAAATCCACATTTAAAAATTATTCTAATTGCTTTACCGTTCTTTGGTGTTACTGCTGCTGCTTTTCTTCATGCTCCCCCCTTTTTTTTTCTTTCAAGATTAGTTTGGCTTACATGTGACTTTGGAACTTTCTCATTTTAAAAATGAGAAAAAAGTTTTGTTCCAGAGAGGTGAAATGACATGGTTAGGTGTGTCAGAGCTGATACCGGAACCCAAGGGTTCATTCAGCAGGTATTTCCTGAGCACCTACTGCATCATGGTCAGTCCTAGAGTTACAAAGATTAAAAGGCAAGGTCCCTGCCTCTCAAGGAATTCAGCTGCTGGGAGACTGAGTATAGAAAAGAAATTATAATTCAACATGATAATTTCTCTAATAGAGAGACATAAAGTGCAAGGAGCATAGGTGTAAAAGAGCTTCATTTGTTTTGGAAAGGCAGGGGAGCATCAGAACCTGAGCTGAGGAATACTAACTCAGATGGAAAAAGAGAAGGCTCTCCAGGCAGAAAGCAACAGTTTTTGCAAGGACAAGAAACCAAGGCTTAATATTATGCTAATGTCAATTCTCCCACATTAAGCTGTAAATTCGGTATAATTCAAAACAAATTTTAACAGGATTTTTAATGGAACATGATAAAATGATTCTGAAATAAGTGAGAACATCAAAGAAAACAATGAAAAAGAAGAGCAATAGAGGCAGGAAGGAGATTTGCCCTGCCAAGAATCAAAATATATTATAAAGATATATTAATTAAAACCATGTGGTACTCATGTAAGAAGAGATAAACCGAGCAATAGAAACAGTAAAAATTCTAAAAACATAGGCTGGGAACTGTGTAAGGGAACTATAAATGGTTAGGTGTAATGGCAGGCCAGGGCTCATTCAACTACATTTTTCCAGCAATTATACATATAATCTTTTAAGTCTAGGTAAATGATTGCTTTGGAAATGAACCAAAGCAGTTATTTGCAAAGGAATTGTTGGGTACATGATTATTTGCATGCACATAGAAATCATACCTGAGGTCTAAAATGTTCAGCTGGAGATATTGTGTCTCAGACATTTTTGGTTTTTTTTATTTTAGCGCATGCGTGCGTGCGTGCGCGCGCGCACACACACACACACACACACACATATTATATAACATAATACAAAGAGTAGTAAAATGTGTGCTGATGTCATAGAAAAATATGCTCAAGTAAGTGTAGTTTGTCTAGATGTAGCCAAGTTGCAGTATATTAAACATTTATATTGACAATAACATACGCATAGAAGTAAAGAAGCAATCCTCTATTGGAAGATCTAAGGATATGGGAAACCTTACTAGGCTTGAAACTATAATCATCTCCCTCCTGGGAATACCTAACCTTGGACAGGATCCCCTTCCATACTCACCAGACCACTCATCACTGTGAAGAGCAGCAGCCAGTTGGGGAGCAGGGAAAGGAGGAGAGATGAGGAAGTCAAAGAAAATGGCTCTCTGTAAGGTTAGAAACGTGGAGAAAATGGATTTGAATATAAGGAAATAGAACAGTGTAGAATTATGGTTGGTCCACCTCAAATTTTTCAGCAGTGGCCATTAATTTGTCAAATGTATTTATTCGTTGCATTTGTGCCTCCTCTAATTATTTTTCCATTATTCATTTTGTTTGATTTATTGTTTATTTTCTTGGTAGATATAGTACATAGAGATCTCAAACTGGAAAACATATTGGTTAAAAGCAGCTTTATTGATGATAACAATGAAATGAACTTAAACATAAAGGTAAGATATTAGAGATGGTGGTAAATATTTACCTATAAACAGTTTGCTAGCAAAGTGGCAAAGTACATCCTCTTTTTAGCTACATTTTGGAAGCTTTGAGCAGCCAGCAAATAAGTGTCTGGTGCTAAAAAAATTAAAAATTCACAAAAGACGTTATAACTGACAAGAATAATTTTACAAGTTAAGTGGTGTTGTTGAATTTTTTTAAAGTACGTATTCATTTGGATAGTTCTAAATCATTAGTTAATAACAAGCAAACAGATGCTCTGAATCCTAATTAATTTCAAAATTATGCCTGGTAATTTGATGTAAATGCGTTACAGATTTAGAAAAAAACACCTTGGCTATGCCTTTGATACTAAATTAATGCTAAAGTCTGTATTTCTCACTGAAAATTTTCCTGGGTATTAATATTTATGTCCTAAGCACAATTAATGTGGCAAGTGTTTATCCTTGAAGATTTTATTCAAATTAAATGTTCCTTAATGTCAAATAAATGGTAGGATACATTATTTATTACTTAGCACTTTATTAGTGGCTGCTTTCAAAATATATGAATGTGTTAATTTAGGAATAAAATGTCTGTGAATAACTTGCTCTGTTGCAGATGCTAAATCTTTATTAATATAAATAGGTTCAACAGCATTGTTATTTTGCCTGAGTAAATGTTCTTGAATATTTCCATTGTAAACTCCATGAAGGCAGGAATTATGTATGTCTTATTCACTGTTGGTACTTGGAGTAGTGCCTGAAACATAGTATGTGCTCAGTTAATATTTGGTGAATGAAGGAATAAATGCTCTCCAGAGAACTGAATTGGATTGTGAAACCTTTTGTATATTTGATATCTGTATAGATTTTAATGCTTCAAGTGGAATAATTGTGAAACTTCTGGAGAAATTAATTAATCTCTTTAGAAGAATAGTGATATCACATGTTGACAGGAATATTTTCTTACTCCATAAGGCACTGGAAACTTTGCATTCAGTGTCTATGGACCAAGAGCCAATCTTTGGTTGCATGATCAATAAATGTAACTTATTTTCTGCTTTCAGCCCAAGGCTGTCCCAACTTGGCAGACAAGACCAAGGGCACATACTGAATATTTAATAACCAAATGTTTAATGACCGAGATTTTGAACTGAGCAGAAAGACTGCAGAGGCAGCAGTAAGCCTCCAGTGCATTTGTAGTTATACTGTATTTTTTCCTGCTAATTTGCTTCTTGTAGTTTTTTATAGTGTAGTTTTTTAATTAGTACACTCTAGAAACACAAAGGAAATAACAGTAAAGAAAGTATTTACCAGAGATGGTGTTTTTTAGAATAATTATGAAAAGGGGGAGCTTCTGTGAGTGCTTACAAGGATAGTGATTTGCATTTAGAACAAACAGTGTTTTAAACTGGAACATTAGCTTGAGTATCAGAAAAATAGATAATAAGCATACTAAGGGCAGAATGCATTTTACAGTGAAAGAACTTTTTAAAAATTACTTTTTTATTTGAAAAAAATTAAATGCCATTTTTCAAGATGCAACTTTCTATATTGAACTAGTGAATTTAATTAGAAGGAATGAACAATGAACATCCTGGGTATTTTCTCAAGATTTGAGAAACCAAGCTTCTGTTTACCAAGTTTCTTCTTCACAAAGAGGGGTGGGCGGGGAAGGAAAGCAAGGTCTTTTTAGTAATATAAGTAAGGCCCCGCCATCTTCAAGAATCTCTGAATCAAATGCAGTTATAAAATCCTACCTTCAAAATGAGTGAACTCTAGGACAGGAAAACAGGTGACTGAGTTTCTTCTTCTAGGTGACTGATTTTGGCTTAGCGGTGAAAAAGCATGGTAGGAGTGAGGCCATGCTACAAACCACATGTGGGACTCCTATCTATATGGGTAAGTTAGTAGACTTAATATTACTTTTTCTATATAAAAAAGTAGAACAACTAATGTGGATTAAAACTTGAACAATTTGATTTTGCCATCATGACTTAATGGCTCCGATCAAGCTACTTGTTCTTTTAGGTCAAATAATTTCAGTTGTTTTAGCATTTTTCTCATAGTTCTTGTCTTCAAAGATTCTAGTTTTTATTGTTTCTTTGGCCTCTTTTTATGGTTATTTCTCTTAAGTAATCAGACACTAAACAATTATTGTTCTTGTTAATTCATGATAAAATTGTGTGTATTCTGCTTCTTTCCATTTTTTTAATCCAGTTTCATTGCCATCAAATAGTTTTTCATGAAAAGTACTGACATTTTGTAAAGCAACAGTTTCCCATTTTTCTGAATGTGATTTTTAACAGCTTTCCTAAAGTATAATTTAAAAATCATAAAAATGTACCATTCAATGATTTATATATATATTTATGCATTTTATTTTATTAGTTTATTAGTTTCAAGTATACTATATATTGGTTAGACATTTATATAGTTTATGAAACGATCCCCCCGATTACTCTGGCTCTACACCTAGCCATTACGTTACTACTGACTACATTCCATATGTCATGCTCTCCATCCCCATGACCATCTCTTAACTACTAATTTGTATTTCTTTAACCCTTCACCCCTTTCTCCCAGCTCCCTAACCCCCTTCCCCTCTGGCGGTCACCAGATTGTCCTCTGTATTTGTGAGTCTGTTTTCGATTAGTTTGTTCTTTTTGTTCCTTAGGTTCCCATCAGCAGACGATTGTATAAAGAAGTTATGGTTCATATATACAATGGAATATTACTCAGCCATAAAAAATGAAATCCTACCATTTGCAATGACATGGATGGACCTAGAGGTTATTATGCTGAGTGAAATAAGTCAGAGAAAGATAAATATCATATGGTTTCACTTACACGTGGAATCAATGATTTTTCATACATACAGAGTTGTGCAACCATCACCACAGTCCAGTTTTTAAATAATTTTACCCTCCAAAGTCGCCTCATGCCAATTTGCACTCAGTTTTATTCTCATTTTATCCTCTCTAATCTTTTTGTTTCTCAGATTTACCTTTTCTGAATATTTCATATAAATAGAACTATGCAATATGTGTCTTTTATGTCTGGCTTCTTTCTCTTAGCATAATATTTTTGAGATATCCTTGTTGTAGCATTTATCTTTTATATTGCTGAACAGTTGTCCATTGTATGAATGTACCACATTTTGTCTATCCACTTGTTAGCTGACATGTGGATTGTTTCCAGTTTGGGGCTATTATGAATAATGTTGCTGTGAACATTCATGTGCAAGTTTTTATGTGGACATATGGTTTCATTTTCCTTGTGTAGCTACCTAGGAGTAGAACTGTTGGGTCATATATTATTTATGTTTAACTTTTTAAGAAACCACCAAATGATTTTTCAAAGTATCTGTAGCATTTTACCTTCCTGCTAGCAATGTATGGGAGTTTCAGTTTCTTCACATCCTTGCCAACACTTGATATTACCTATCTTTTTAAATTAGAGCCTTTCTAGTGGGTATGAAGTAATATCTCATTGTGGTTTTTAATTTGCATTACCTTAATGACCAATGATATTGAGCATCTTTTCATGTACTTATTAGTCATATATATATATGACTT